GGAGTCTCAGACGGAGAATTTAAATGTTATCCACTTATCCAGGTAAGACAATAACTTAACTTACCTTTGCTGATTTTCTTATAATAAGAAATTTATTTACTTATTCATTTTTGGACATATAAATATGAAATTTAAATTATCCCAGAGAACTTATGGAGGGGCTCCAGATACACAAATAAAGCACACCAGGGAACAGGATCTCTATCAGAAGCTGACTCCAGTATCCCTCCTAGCTACTTCCTCATCCTCTGCCCCATCACAGAAAACCTGAAAGAGTTGTTTATCATCACTCTCTCCACTGTCTCTCTTGCACCTGCTCCGCTCAACCTTCTATCCCCACCACTCCAGAAAAACAATTTTTGTCAAAGTCACCAGTGATGTCTATGTCACCAAATCACATTCACTGTCCTCACCTTCCTAGACCTCTTAGTAACATATTTAACCCAAACTCTCTCCTTGAGCTGCTTTTTTCTCCTTGGCCCCGTGACACTACACACTTTCCTGTTTGTTTTTTTCCCTATTTCATTGGCCTCTTCTTAGTCTCCTCTGCTGGCCCCTCCTACCCTGGAGCTTGATCCTTGGACTCTTTGTCTTGCTTATCCACTTTCTCTCCAAATAATCCTTCTAGTCTCATGACTTACGATACCATCTCTCTGTCAGTCAGTGACTCCCAAATATTTCCCTCTGCTCTCGAGCTTCAGAGTTGACTTAGTATCTCTCCTGAATGTATCAGAGGCATCTCAAACCTAACATTGCCAAAGGAGAGCTCCTCATTCCCCATCCCTAAGTCCATACGAAAGGGGCAGCCTTGCAAAAATTACAAGAAAATATCTAATCCCACCATTTCCTAGTAACCGTTAAAGATCAATCCTATGCATTCTCTCTCACTAACAGGCACACTGTAGGAGTTCTGTTTGGTACAACTTCTGAAAAGAGCTGAACAGACGGAAAAGAGATGTAAATCTTTCTCTTCTAAAATTGCTTTTGAGGATCTGTTTTTACAAGAGTTCCCGAGTGAACAGCAGGGTGCAGGCTTCAAGCCTTAGCCATATCTCCTCGAGGGCAGAGTCACATCTCCTGAGGTAATTCCTTCTCCAAGGAAAGGCAGAAGAGCCAACTCTTGGACTTTGACATCCTGCTGCCCCTTCTGTTATCATCTTGCTGCCAAGAAGAAAGATAGGAGCAGATGCAGCAGTTTCACAGTGTTCTGTTAATTTGGCTACAGCTATAAACCTTCTTCACCCCCTAAAAAAAAAAACCTGAGTATCTGATTCTCTCTGCCAACATTCTCTACCTCCTTTGCTTTTGTATTGGCCCTTTTCTACCTGGGAAAAGTAAAATAAACTTCTTCTTTCTATCCTAATCTTTGTCTGGAGAAATCTTTCTCAAAACCCATGTGCACTAGCTCACACCTGGACCTTATACCCTTACACCACATTTCCCCAAGATATTCCCCTGGAGGAAATGCCAGCACTGTCTATCCAGTTCCTCAAGCCAAAAGCCTAAGAGTCAGTATACACAGGTGGTTAAGAGTGTATGCTTTGGAGCCAACTGGGTTCAAACACGGCTCATTTATTTTAAGTAAGTATATGATTCTGGGCAAGTTAGGGTTCTTATGACAATTATATGCCTTAAAATAAGTAAAGCACCTAGAACAGTAAGTTCTAACTAAATTATTACACAGTAAGTTTATTATTGTTGTTGTTCTTAATTCCTCATTTCCTAATTCCCATAAGTCCTGTTATCAACTCTACCATCAAAACATCCTACATATGTCCACTTCTCTCTATCCCCACTGCTGCGACCCTCGCCCAAGCCACTCTCATCCCTCCTATCACGGCTGCCTCTTTATTTGCCCTGCTTCTGTTCTTGCCCCCATGATCCATTCTCCACAAAGCAGCCAAAGTGATTCTTTCGAATATAAACCAAATACAATTCCTCTGCTTAAAACCCTCCAATTTCTTCTCATTACCTGTAAGTTAAAAATTCAAATTCCTTTTCTGAGTCTTAAATGCCCTACATCAGTGGTTCACAACCCAGTCACATATTAGAATCACATATAGAGCTTTAAAAATGATTCATGCTTATGCTCCATCCTAGACTTGTTAAGTCAGAATCTGTAGCTGCAATGACCATCAAAATTTTAAAAGCCCACCACAGGGCAAAGGCAATACATGTAACCTAAACATTTGTACCCCTGGAATATGCTGAGGAAAAAAAAAGCCCACCAGGTGATTCTTATGTACAGACAGGGCTGAAAAACACTGACCTAAATGATCTGACCCTCTACCTGTTTCTCCAGTCATTCTCCTATTCACTCATGCATACCAACTAACTGGCCTTTTTCCTTTTCCTCAGTGGTCTAAATCTATGCCTCAGACACTTTGCACTAGCTATTCTTTCTGCCTAGAAAGCTCTTCGTCAGATCTTATCACAGTGGGGTTCTCCACTATCTTTCAGTCTCAGCTTAAATATTGCTCCTTTAGGAGACCTTCTCTGACATCCAAATGAAAGTAGATCACTAGATGACACCTTATTTTTATAAAGAATTTAGATGTATTTTTTGTATGTTTATATTATCTTTCTTTCCCCACAAAAGTTTAAGCTCCAGAGGAGCTTATGTGGTCGCTGCTATGCTCTCAGGGTATAGATCAAGCGAATAGTAAGTACTTGAGAAATGATTGTTGAATGAATGAGTAAATAAATAAGCATGCTTGGAAACCAGCTGTCTCAAGGCTATCTTCCATAGTTTTAGAGCAATGTTTACTTCCTTTTGTTTTATGAGCAATTTCCTCCAGAAGGACAGGGCTCTTGCATCCCAGCACACTTCTTCTGTAAAGGATGTTAAAGGACAGGATTTACATCAATCCTGGACCCCTGGAAAATCCCAAACCCTGACATTAACTATTACACTGTACATCCCTTACCTCATCCTCCCTCTAACTTTTTCACCAGAATTGCCGACAAATTCAAATCAACTAATTTATATGATATTTAGCTTAGTTTCCTCACCAAGATTCTGGCAGAGAGGTTAACAAAGAAGGGACTCATGGGCAATGTGCAGAAGAAACCAAAAGAGAAAAAAATCCATACACCAGATAGCCAACTCTAGTCTGGAAAGAATTTTCCAATCTGAAGCTTGACATTCTAAATGGGCACTAAATTGAACACAAAAGTCTTCCCAAATAAACATAAAACACCTTCACGGATCCTTCAGCCTAAGACATTTTAAGAAATTTTAAAAGGAGATAAAATATCTAAGTAACTGATTGACCAAAACTATCCCTCACTACTAGTATAAGGTCTAGTGGTACCATTTTACATTTAGAAGTGAAGGTATTACCTTGGGGATATCTCCCTTAATACCCGGGGGCAGCCGCAGGATCCAGAAGTTCCTGTTGCGCAGCAGGTTCTCTAAGTTCTCCAGCCGCCGCTGCAGCAGCCCGTACTCCTGCAGCAGGGTCCCCAGCACGGCCCACTTGCCCTCCAGCTGGTTCCCAAGCTCAGTCACTGTCTTTTCACAGCTGGCTAGTTTCTTCTCTGCTGTCCCTGTCCGGCCTTCTAGGTGTAGGAGTCGCCGGCTGTGGACCTCCACCTTCCTCTCTATTGCCTGCACAGCAGCCACCACTGTCCACAGGGAGATGGCTGCTGTCTGCAGGTGCGCCTCATTTGCTGCCGGGGGCGTAGGAAGAGGAAGCGGCTGCAGGGATGTAAGGCACTCGGAGTCCCATTCAGAAGTCTGTGTGCAGTGGAGAGATGGAACAAGACATTGAGTGTTAGGAGGAACCCTAACTCCTAATTATTGCTTAATTGGATTGTTTAACTGTCTAGCTGAGATTAATGTGAATATAATTTTAGGCCTGCATATGCCTCATCTTTCTGGAGGTTATTGGCATCAACAGCCAAGAGAACCGTTCTGATGATGCACGGATAGATTCGGTAAGACAGTGAATGAATGAAATTGGCTCTTTAAGAACTAGTCTGGTCTATATCCTCTGACACAAGGCCCAGAGGCTCAGGTTGCTGCTGCATCTTCTATCTTTGGAAAAGGCAAATGTGCACAAAGATCCTTTCCAGGTTTCACTGAAGTCAATGCCCTCTGATAAATCCCTTACAGACTTATGCTCTGGTCCTGCCCACACCCTGTTTACAAACCATAACCACAACACTCAGTCATGGTTGAATAAGCTGAGAATCTTGAATCTGGAGAAATCATGACAGTTGTTTTCAAATATTTAAGCATTATAAAACAGAAGGCAGAACAGACTTATTTAATCTTATATTGTTTTATTCCACAGGGCAGAACTAGAATCAACATATGGAAATTTTCAGGCAGGCAAACTTTGGACTATAATATATATCTTTTTTCCCCTAGAGATGGGGTGTTGCTATGTTCCCCAGGCTGGCCTCAAACTCTTGGGCTTAAGAGATCTTTCCACCTCAGCCTCCTGAGTAGCTGGGATTATAGGCATGTGCCACCGCAGCCAGCTAATAAATAATTTTTGAACCAGATCTTTCCAAGAAAATAACAGGTTGCTCCATCACTGAATGTACTTTGAAACAAAGAATGGTATAAAAGGAAGAAATTCCTACAACAATTAGGAGGTTGGACTAGGATGACCTCTACAAAGCCTTCTAACTCTATGAACTTGATAAACCACTCTCTGGTCACAACTTCATTCTCATTTCCTCTGGTGTGCAATTCCACTAATAACTCCGGTCCTTTAGCCATTCCATTTGCTCCTGGTCTATGTGCCCATTCCTGGCTTTGCTTTCTTTTCCAGTTGATCATTTCAGCCACTTTCAACTCACCACCCTCCCCACCTTCACACAAGTCTTTCTGCCTCATCTGCTCAGCTAACCTCCAGCCTTGAATCAGTCCAATTGTTCTCTTCCATTCCTGTAAGCAGTCTGGCAAGCCTGACTAGAGGAAATCACTCAACCAGGCAAACTGCTGCCACCACACACCAATGGTCTCTAAGCTCAGTGGGGACCTCAACACTGTCTGGTGCCCTCTGTGCTTCTTTTCCCATTCTATAAAGTGGCTGAGACAAACCCTGAGCATGCTCCTTCAACCTTTAGTACAGCGATTCTCAAACTAAGAAGAATAAGAATCATAAGAATCACCTGGACATCTTGTTAAAATGCAGATTTTGATTCAGTAAGTTGGGGAGGAAAGTTGAGATTCTGCATTTTTAACGAGCTCCCAGGCGATGCAGCCGCTGCTGACTCAGGGAGCTCACAGAGTAGTAAGACTCCTATCCATTGCAGCCCCCTCACTCTCAGGAGAGGACACGGCTGACTACTTTGAGAAGAAAATTAAAGTAATCAGAACTAAACTCTCTCAACTTTCTCTCTTTCTTCATACTCTTTCCTGCTTGGAACTTACAGTATTAATAACTTAAGCCATGCTTTCTTCTTTCCTTCCCAAGGGAAAATGTTTCATCCTATTTAAAGCTAATTCCTCTACTTATGCCCTGAATACCAATCCTTTCCACCTTTTTGGTACATCATTCCTTTCTTTTTCTATCATTAATATGTCAATCTCTCCTGATTCTTCTCCATAAGATTGACTTGCACTGTTCAAGATGGTAGCCACTGCCATTGAGCACCTGACATGTAGTTATTTCAATTAAGACGTGCTATGAGTATAAAATAAAGATTTTGAAGACTTAGTATAAAAAGAAGTAAAATCTCATTAATAATTTTTTAAATTGATTACATGTTGAAATAATATTTTGCATCTATTGGGTTAAGTAAAACATTAAGATTAATTTCATCTATTTCTTTTTACTCTTTAACTTTTACTTAAGAAATAGGGTCTGGCTATGTTGCCCAGGCCGGACTGAATTCCTGGGCTCAAGCAATCCTTCCACCTCCCGAGTAGCTAGGATGACAGGAGCTCAACCCTGCACCGGGCTTCTTTTTACTTTTTAAACATGGCTACTACAGAATTTAAAGTTATGTCTATGGCTTCCCTTATATTTCTACTAGACAGGGCTGGCACAAACACACGATCATTTCTACCACCTTACAAAATAAAATTGGAAAAAGGAAAAATAGGTCCAAGAATAAAGAAGGCAACCCCTGCTCTGTGCCACCCCCCTGCTGCTGCTCTCTCTCTTTCCTCCTCTTCCTTTTCTCACAGTGCAGTCACTCCTCAGTGGGCCAGTCTGCCTCCTGACTGCTAAAATGGCTCTCCTTGAGGTTACCAAAGGCTTCTCAGGTGGCAAATCCAAGGAATGCCTTTCAGTCTTTCACTTGACCGTTTCCTCCGCATTGTAAATGGTCGTGTGCAGCCACATCTCCGTCGCCTTGGCAACTGGCCACTGCTGGGCCCCTTGCGGGCCTTCAGTAAACATTCGCTGAAAGGATGAACGCGCGCACCGCTGATCCCACCCTCGGAGTCCGCACCAGTCATTCATTCCGCACATATTCGCGGAGGGCCTCCCGCGTGTCGTGCGCTGTCAGGCAGCCGGCACTGGGGAGCCGGTCGTCACGCAGTCTGGCGAGAGAACGCCTTAATGCACCTAAATTCCACCCCGCCAGCGCCCGGGTCGCTGCACTGAGGATTTGGTGACGACAGCTCCCACAGCTGGGAGAATGGCTCACAGATTACAAAACCAACCCAGCCCCACTTCCCAGCTTCTGGCAGGCCGTCGTGGGCTGCCACGAAGCGGGGCAGCCCCTCTTGGCTTAAACGCTCCCGCTGCGGGGGCGACGGGGGGTGTCCCTGGGCCTCGCCCCGGGGCGAGGTGGCGCAGGGATGAGCGAGTCCTCTCAGACCCGCGCTCTAGTCTGGTGTCCCCGGGTGGGCGGTTTCACACCCACCCGCTAGGTGCCCTCCCGGCAGGCTGCAGCCGCAAAGCCCAGGGCGACAGGCAACGTGGTCGGGAGACCCCGGGGGAGGACGCCTGTGTCGGCCGCTCCCGGACGGCCTGCCCGCCCTCCTTCCTCCCTCGGGATCTGGGTCGCGCAGACCCTTCCGGGCTCACAGCACTCGCGCATGGGCCGCCCTTACCGGAGCCGGGGTTGCTTCGGCCATGGCCCTTCGCTGTCCGGCCCGGCCCGGGGAGAGTCGCCGCTGCCGAGCGCTGAACCACGCAGGCCCGACTGCCGGGTCCTCTCGGCAGGCGGCGCCGGCCCAGCCCTGCCTTCCCGCACTGACGGGGCTCGCGCGGCCGTCGGCCTTCGGGACACAGCAGAGGCGCGGGGCGGACTGCCGGCCGGGTGGAGCTGGGACAGCGAGACAGACTCCGCAGCACTCGGCCCGCAGCGACCCCTCCTCTGACGCTCCGTGGGCAGCGAGTGCACCCGGAACGGCGCCGGCCTAGACCCGCCCCAGGCTCGCGCCGCCCGCCCGCCCCTGCCAGCGCGCCCCCTGCCGGCCCTGGCGGCCAGCGCCGCCCGCGGTCCCTCCGCCCCTGCGGCTGGTTGGCTGCAGTGCCGGGAGGCTTGGACCCAGCCCACGTGTGTTCTGTTTTCTCACCCCCGAGCGGCCTCGACACCTGGTAGTTTAGGTCCGCTACAAAGCAGGGCGCGTGCTGGGAGTGATTTTCTTCCTGGAGGCCCAATTAGCAGGCATCGCTTGAAGGAAAGCGCTTCTTTCTGCTGGATGGGCAGAGTGGACCGCCCGGCCGAAGTGAGCCTGTGGGTTAGAATGAGTGACCAAGAGGCACAAATAAGTGATGAAGAAGATATGTGTCATTTGCAGAAATTATAAACGTGGCTGCCAAGCTGAAGTGGCTCACATCCCCAGCGGCCGGCGTTGGGACCTAATACTACTTTACCTCTGGCTCACATTATTGCATCTCTGGGGCCTGGTCTGGACGTGGAATTCTTGAGGGCAGCAGAAGTCAAGCTCGAAGTTATGGTTAACTGGGTCTGGACTAATGGAAAGGCGAGAACAAAGTGTCATCTGTGGAGGTTCAGTGTTTCAGGTCAAGAGAGTGTTACAGTAAGATAACCACATACTCCTGGTTTTCCAGCAGGTCGTCGTCGTCGTTTGGCATGAGTAAAACCCTGCCAAACCTGTATTTCAACAAAGGAATCAAGTCAATGCCCACAACAGTAAAAATATCTGTAAATCACAAAAGTATGAGAATCATCCAGTTGGGACAACAGCTCTTGATTGTGCTAATTTATTCTTAGACTGTAGCTACATGTGCAGTATGTAATTTGAGGTCTACCTGAATTACATTTTGGTCAAATGGTGAATGTTTGATAGTTAAAATTGCCATTCTCTGACTCAGAATATGACCAGTTATGAGAGAAAAAATCCGAATTTCCTTGGAATGAAAATTCAGTTTTATAATTTTATTTAAAATGTAGTAGTTAAAATTTAAAGTTTGACCTTATTAGGCTATTTAACAGGGATATTTCCATTACTGAATAAGACACTTTCAACTGAGCTCACTGGAGCAGGAAGGCCAGCACCACTTGTGTAATATAGGTGATATTACCACAAATTTGTTACACATTCCTTCCTCTAATAGGAACTCTTTAAGGTAAGTCTTTCCTCCTGTTTAATTCCTGGCCTTAAAAGATTGTTTTAGGTGGTGACAGCATTTCATGAAACAATTTCACTGACTGAAGTTTTATGTACTGTTTAAAGAAGAGGTACAGTATTTTCAGAAGCAGATTTAATATTGTACTGACTGATATTTTTAATTTCTAATTTCTAATATTTTTGACTGCTCTTGCAGCAATCAAAATCACTAGAGAAAAAAATTGTCCTCAAAGTTTGTCCTTAAAGAAATGTGACAGTGCATTCTACTAAATGAAGTATCCCAAGAATGGAAAAACAAGCACCACATGTACTCACCATCAAATTGGTATTAGCTGATCAACACATAAGTGCACATATAAGAATAACATTTATTGGATGTCGGGCAGGGGGGAGGGAGGAGAAGGGGACAGGTGTATGCATACACAAAGAGTGCAATGTGCACCATCGGGGGATGGACACGCTTGAAGCTTCGACTTGGTGGGGAGGGGAGACAAGGACAACATACGTAACCTAAACATCTGTACCCCCATAATATGCTGAAATAAAAAAAAAAGAAAAAAGAAATGTGACAATGGAACAATTTAATTGGTTTTTGAGTTAACAAAATAATTGCAGTTTCCAGCCGCATCTTAGCTTTCCTTATCCTACCCATTAATTTCAGCATCTTCCCTGGAGTAGAATCAAAGGAAGATCTTTTCAGTGTGTATCATGTAAAAAATACTCTCAGGGCACATCAATTTATTCAGCAAGTTCTGACAAACTGCTTTCTCTGCAAGCAACCATTAGCTATTAGTAACTCTTGCTATGTGTCAACGGAAAAAAGACCAAACTCTGTAAAATAATTTTAAGGAGATTTGCTCTGAGCCAAATTTGAAGATCATAACCCGGAGCCACGCCCAAGAGGCCTTGAGCTGTGGACTCGCTGAGGTTGGGTTACAGTTTGGTTTTATACATTTCAGGGAGACAGGGGTTACAGGTAAAGTCATAAATCAATACGTGGGAGGCATACATTGGCTTATAGCCGAAAAGGTGGGCCATCTCGAAAGGGGGGGGTGTGCTTACAGGTTATAGGTGAGTTTAAAGATTCTTTGGCTTGTAATTGGTTAAAGACATGAAGCTTTGTCTAAAAGCTTGGAATGTTTCGACATAAGGAGCTGTTTATCAGAGATAAGCCGCAGGACATAAATTTGTTCTGGAAATTGAGGACCAGCAGGTTTGTCTTCCATACCCTTAGGCCTGTTATAAAGGATGTCCCCAAGAAGGGAGAGGCGCATGATAAGACATGTCTGACCTCCTTCCTCCTGGCAGGCAATTTAGTTTTAGGATATTCCTTTTGGCCGCGAGGGGGTCCATTTAGTCAGCCTCCATTTAGTCAGCCGGTGGGGCGTGAGTCTTAAAATTTTATTTAATTCACATATGTTGGTAATGTCTGGAAACTACAAAATTAAAGCCTTTTTGTATCAACCTTTGAAAGATATAATAACTGCTATTCCATCTTGCTTAAGTATCTTGTAAATGTACATGACAAGACAATCTCAAAATCTCTTGTGCATCACGTAATTTGTTGTTAGCTGTAGAAAAATTGTGGAAGTGGTCTACAATGTTTTTGCTTACAGCCAGTAATTTTCTATTACATCATTTTAAGCTATGCCCATTTTCTGAATATACAACTGAAGATGTGAACGAACTATATAGTGTTATAACAGGGAATGGCCTGGAAAGAGAAAGAAAATAAAGAAAAGATTTTCTCTCTTTAAAATTTCCCCCACTCTTTTTGGGAACTGCTCCCTGGCCCGCATCCCTGAGGCAGGTTAAGTCTTTTGTTAAAAGTCCCAGGTGGCACCCTGAGATGGGCGACTGGCTGAGTTCACCAGCTTTGTCTTTGGCGGACATGAAATGATTAGAATAGTTAACCACAGTAATTACCTGAAGCTGAGAACTCCCTTTAAAAGCTCTGTATTTCTGCCTTTGTGCAGGAAAAATTTAGATTTTGAGATGATAGTCTGCTTTTTTTTCCTTTTGTTGGCAAAGGTAATATGTCTCTTTCCCCATCCCCAAAAGACTTGTCCTCATTCTTCTGATTCGGCCTCATGGACAGGTGCCAAGTTTTCGGTAATAGTATGATTGTGCTAATAGCCTATTCCATATTTGTTCCATGGGAAATGAGAATTTCATGCATTCTCTTTACTGATTTTACATTCCATAAATATTTCTCAAAGTCAGATTCATTCACCGTGTGCGTGAAAGTCAGGAATCTTTCATAAA